TTTTCGATTTTTTTTTTCATTCTTAATATTTTGATAAGCCTAGGTTGCATTCGAAGAAAGGTGAAAAATGATAACCTATTTGATGAATATGATGTACTCTTTTGATAGATAAAGATGTACGTTTTCAATATAAAATGTAAAGTCTAGGAAACACACGACAAAAGAAAAGTATAAAATGATTTCTGAATACGTGATTTTTGTAAACACACGTATCTATTAAGAATACAGAAAATTATAATGATAATTATTTTTATTTCATCATTTTTTATTATTATTTTTTAAAGAATTGTATGATGTACTTTAAAATAATTATATATTCATATCATTTTTTTTAGTTGTAAGTGATTATCATATAGTTTTAAATTGTGTATCCATTTTTTAAATATATTTTATAAGTGTGAATTGGTGTTTGAATATAATTTTATAGGCCTTGGCAATATTAAAAGTATGGATTTGAAAAAGATGCATTTTTAAATCCTTATTTATCCTTGATCATGGACTGTTGTAATTTCTAAAATAAGAAGAGTGAAATCCTTTTTGAATATAATATGCAAAACCTTTGTAAATAAACTTCAGTTGCATAACAAATATATGAAAAGAAAATACAGGATGATCTAAAGAAATTTAAATAATTTATCTGTCTATCTATCTATCCATATATGAAAAAAACACCGATGACATTATTAAAAAAAAAAAGATTGTCCTTAAGTTAAAAATTCTACAGATTTCTTATGATGTTTTCCCTTGTGGCTCTTCAAGATCTCTCTCTCTCTCTCTCTCTCTCTCTCTCTCTCTCTATATATATATATATATATATATATATATATATATATATATATATATATGTATATATATTTATGTATATATATATACATAGGCACTAAAAAATCTTTTAAATCTTTGTCCTTAAGTTTAAAATTCTACATATTTCTCACGATGATTTCCCTTGCGATAAGCTATCAGGCTCTTCAAAAAGGGCATGTATGTGTACATACGGAATAACGTTAGGGTGATCTATATAAAAAAAAGGTTATTTCTGTTCTAAAAAGAAGAATCAAACCCTAATGCTGCTACACTGGAATCTGGAATGGCCTCGCCGCGTTCCTGGTGCCTAAGGCGTTCCTAGGATTCTTTGCCTGGTGTTGGTTCGAAGCCTCGTCCCGCGGGTCTGCGTCCGGTTCGGGTTCGCGCTTGGCTCGAGGCATCACGGTTTATACTTCTTTATGATAGCGGCGGTTTTGTTTATTTGGGCGCGCGTGCACACACACACACACGCACACACACACACACACACACACACACACACACACACACACACACACACACACACACACACACACACACACACACACACACACGATAAGTAGATATATAGGTTGGTAGATATTTAGAGAGATTGATAAATAGACAAATAAATACATATATTGACAGATTGTTCCATAGATAAATATGCACCGCACATGCAAAGGCGTCACATAGTTATCTTGCATAATCAAACCAGAGAACCAGCAAGAGAGACAAGACTCTTGATATGTCGTTGCAAGCAGCCTTTTTTTGTTGTTGTCTTCACGTAACGATCATCAATTTCGAAATAATGCTTTCTGGCAACAACTGACCAGAGTTGCCGGCGAGTCATAATTTCTTCCGTAATCATGTCCGCATTATGCCGTTGTGATTTCCAGGCTTCATAATGAATATTGGTATTACATTTTCTGGAAAAAAAAAACAAAATGTTGCACATAATTCGTAGACCGCATTGCAATACTGAATGTAGCTGATACATTTTAAGATAAGGCGAACAATAGAGAGTAGGAACGATAGACTTCCGCTAATAGGACATTTTTGTGCATGTAAACATTTATAAACATCCATTTACCAAATCAGACATTCATTACTGCGTTCATTATTCTTATGATTTCTATTCTTATCATATATTCTAAAAACTCTTGATTCGTCTTTTTCCTCCTGTTAATACTACAACAACTGGTGTTATAAGTATTATTCAGGTAATATATATATTGACGTTTCACTGCCAGTACCACTGCGTTCCCTGTTACCTGTATATATCACGGTCTTTATGATCATTATGGTTATTATTACTGTAACAATTGTTATTGTCACTGTTATTATGATTAGTATTAGTATTACTGTTAGCATCCTCATCATTCTTACTGATGATAATAATGATTATCGTAATTAATAATAATGATTAGGATAATGATGATCATAATAGTGGTGATAATGATGATAATGATAATGTTGATTTTAATGATAATGATAATGTTGATTTTAATGATAATGATAATAATGATAATAATGATAGTAATGATAATAAGAGTAATGACCATAATGGTAATGATAATGATAATGAATATAATAGTAGTAATAGTAATTATAATAGTGAAAGTAATGATGATAATGATAATAATGATACAAATAAGGATAATAATGATAATGGTAATAATAATAATGCTAATGATAATGATAATAAAAATGATAT